GTAGTAGTTAAAAACCTTGCCACACATACACGTGTTTGCTACCTACCGTAACAACCCTAATCATAAAAAAAAACAATCTACTGCACCAACCGTACCCATAATACAGTTCATAACCCCTACAACAGCTAATGGCCTTAGTCGCCGGGCTTAAGTTCAATGAAAAAAAAAAAAAAAAAAACAGTAAAATAAATTGTGATATAGCATATAAATACAAACCTATATAATATTATATTTATCCAGTTTAACGATACTGTTATGGATTAACAAATAGAAGTCAACAGTATTTCAATTAAACACAAATCACCGCAAACCTATACAAGGGGATTCACCAAGCACGCTGAACGCCATTTTTTTAATAAATGTATTCAAATTCTTCTCTTGGAAATGTTTAAAGTATTTACTGTACTAGTATTAGGTACTTATAACTAATAAGGAGTGTCCTGCGGCGATGTAAACGTCTATTTTTAAAATAATTACCCCCCTTTTTTTTACTGTAAATTATTTAGTGGACAACGTTTTTAAAGGTTTTGGATATCCTTAATTTAAAATCCAAACGACTAGTTTTTTAGTTATTAAAATATTTGTACAAAAAATAGAAAATATATAGGTATATAATATTGTAAAATTGGATCTAGTATTTATTATGCCTGTGTAATTTTTACAAATTATAAATGTTGATCGATTAATAGAAACTAACATTTTCATTTCACCATAAGAGTTATCACTACATACGTCGAAGGTGCGTTAAATTTTTTTGAAATGGATTTACATTTAATGTTGTAGGTATTTACACTGTTTTTAGGGGTTTTTCAGCATTATAGGTTAATTTTAAAACGTATTTGAGTTATTTATGCTAATCTAAAAAAAATAGATTGACAAGGGTTTGATAACGGTTTCATTGTAATATAACATTAAATAAGTAGATATAAATGAAATGTCAATATTTCAAAATTTATTTTACATACTATTCAGAGTGTATAACCTACAATAAATATTTATTAAATACAATTGTGGAATCTCTATTTATATTTTCTACGCCATAATTAAAACCTGCACTGATTCCATAAAAAATTATATATGTTTTTTATATGATTGACTAGTCATAAATTGGTCCATACTGAAAATAATTCCTACATACGCATAAGTGGCTATATGTGCATATATGTATATAATAGGAAATACCACTACTTACATAATTTTGTAAATGTTTTCTATAAATATGGGCCTTTTCCGACGCAGAATAGCAAAAAAATGTAGGATTATCCGAATCATTCAAAAATACATTTATACTCACGCATAGACACGTTTTGGGCACGCAGCGGGGGCAGTCTGACCCTTTGTATGAAAATTAATTTTTAGGCGACTCGGCGCGCTGTCCACTCGACCGTACATCACAAAAGAGAAAGATCGGTGCCGGTTTCACATAATAATGCAGTGGGGTGATTTTTTAGGGGATTAATAAACACTACTATAAAATATGTATTCTACACAGTGGACAGTAGCCCGGTGAACGACTTTTTGTTCTAAAATACGTTTCATAACTCAAACAATGCAATATATAAATATACAAATGTATACAATATACATTATACACATACACACACGCAAACCAGTCAAATCCAAACATTATTAAAATATGATGTAGCGCGTGTGTAGTTGTATGTTGAAGTCTGCGGTGTAAAAGTACCCGGAGGCATTGTACGTTTAATTTGGCGAGTGAACGCTCCCTGGTTTTTCGCCAGAGCCCCCGAAGGCAAACGCGGTTTAATTAGGTTCCGGGGACGATAGTCCGATTGAAAGAGAGAGAGATAGAGATAGAGAGAGAGAGGGAGGCAGAGAAAGAGGATGGGATGAAAGAGAGATACGGCACCAACGAATCGTCATCTCCGTGGACGGTTGTGTTTACATTTCATTTCAAACGCCAAGATACCTAACAGCTTACAATATATATATATACACAACATATATAATATATTTCCTATAAAAATGTACTATATTTTATTTTATTTATAGTTTTATAGACTACTACAAAATAGTTAATAAGTTAACAAACAAAAAATGTTACGCAAAGAATACCTATATCTTCTAAATAACTTCATAAAAAAGGTAATATCAAAGTCCATGATTTTCAAAGGTTTTAAGGTTCACTGTACGCAATATGTTTGTTAAAATTAAAAAGTATTTATAAAATATTATTAAGTAAGGAATCGAATTTGGAAATAACTAAATCATTCAATAAGTCAAACCCAATACCTAACTATAAAATATGGCTGAGATACAGTAGATACGACTAAAACAAACTAACATGGAAGACGGCCAACAATTTAATTGCACATATGCATTATGTAGGTAACGACTGATACAACATACGCTTATAATTGTTCAGTAAGAAATATATTTAAATTATTATATTATTAAATATACCGCGGAAGAACAAATATAAAAATTAAATAAGATAAAAAATAGCAATATTCTAATTTAAAATGATTTTAATCTAAATGTAGATAAATACAATTGCACATACATAAGTTTATGCAAATATATAACTACCTCAACACACAAATTGACTATAAATGGAATCAAGTACAAACAAAATATAGGTACATATAACAAATTGAAACAAAATAGGCAGTCAAATCATTATAAATTCCTACCTATTAGATGTATTGTACAATATTGTACATATTAGGTACAATTAATTTTAGATATGAATATAAATTATTTTCTGCCTGGATAAAAACATATTCTTTTATATATATATAATATATATATATATCACATTCAGTAAATTTTAACAAATTTTCTGATTTACTAGTTCTACAGACTGAGTCAATGATCGGTTTAATCCCGTTCTGAATAAATTATTCAGTAACCAGCAACATAATATACAGCGTGTATATATAGGTACAAAGAAATTGTCCACGATTTTAGTCACACCACCAAAGTAAAAAAATACGCTATAGAACATATATATATTTATGCTTATCATCCGATTTTCGGATATCGGATCAAGTGCACAGAGAGTAGGGTTGAGTACTGGACAGTCAATGATCGAGGTGGATAATGTGATCCATAAAACATTCAATAACTAAAACCCTTGCATGTGCAAACGTTAAGTGAACAAAATTTAAAAAAAATAAAAAGTAAGCCTTTAGGAGTTAGTCGGACAATTAGTAACGACACTTAACAACAATAAAAAAAAATGGACGTTCGTGACTTTTGGCACTTTGGCAACACATAACTGGCCCAACGCTAGCGCTCACAATATTACACGACGTGCGAGGAAATCGCGTGGCTGAAGATCGTGTTTTTCACAAGCTTAAGGGACTATTATATCTTTAGATCAATAATATTTTTTTCATTAAAAATATAAAAACAAATATATTTTACGTATGCATTATAATATCCGAGTTCTGTCTGTGAATTTAAACGTCTAATAAAGATCGCAAAAGAAAAAACGATAATTTTTTACTTAAAAAGACTCATTCAGACATTTTGATAAATGAGGTTTGTTTTACTTCTCGTCAGACGTCGTCATGATTCTAGAAATCGTCTCCACCGAAGGCTCACTTTTTTCACCCCTATACACATATAGGGACAACCCGTCAGTAATGAAATTTCCACCCCCTTATCCACGGTCACTACCAGAGGAAAACGAGATCGAAAAGAATTTGCATAATCCTCGACACATTTCACCAAAGTCACAAAAAAATTAAATATATATTATACAAAAAATAAAAAAAGCTTTTAATTTCTGGCAGAGAAACGTTTAAATTAGATCTAAAAGTGTACATAAAGGTGATTTATAAATATAACAGAATAACTAACTGATATTTTTTTAATACAAAAAAATAAATCACGCATTCATAAAAATAAAAAATAGTAGGTATAGGTACCAAAGTATATCCATAAATATTATATTGATATCTAATAAGAGGCTGTACCTATGTTAAGTACTTATTACAGGTATACTCTTAGGTTTTGAAAATATTAAAATATTTATTGAATACTATTTACAAATAATAAGCAACAAACCTACACAACGAATAAGTTATAAATCGAAAAATTTTACCTGACGGAGAGGTATCTAAGTATTGATGCAAGTAGTTGATATATTACTCAATACATTATTATTTTTAAAATCATTTATGTGTATTGTATCAGCATGCTTAAGAAACATTTGTACGAACCCACCATCTAATATTCTACTCTACAGTTTGTGTATTATTAACATATTATGATATCATATAACTTGAGATTCATATATTATTATTAATTATTAATTATTATATAATATCTATTATAAGCATTGGTCGTAGAGGTTAATCGGAAATATATTAGGTGTACCTGGTATTAATTCTCAAAAGTCTATACTTGTATAATTTGGTATCTATCGTGTGTATAGGTATACAGTATACAAATATAAATAAGTAGTGCATTTAAATAGAAATATTAATATCAAATCACATAAATACAACTATAAATATAAATATATTGAGTTGGGAGAGAGGGAGCTGATAGAAAAAAAGAGTTACCTATTTCTTCTCCATATGTGATCAAAATTATTGGTTTATTTATCACTGCTGTCGTGTATTTTAATATCCACTTTAATAATAAGAATCAAAGTGGCAGCTAGTAACACAATAAAACGAAAACACCAGCATATTGAAAGTAGGGGTGGAATTTTTTTTTTAATAGTTAATACCTTAAATTATGGTCAGACTTCTTAGAGCATCATAAATCACAAGTTTATTGCACAATCGGATAACACATCAAGATCTATACAAATCTCGTGGTATACTCGTATATTTGTTATGGGTTATTTCACTATCGTCAACGCGTTAATAAAAACTAACAAATAATATTTTTTTCTCCTTGAGTTACGATAAAGAAACATCCAATTTAACAATAAAACTGTTGCCTCAAAACAGACTACCACATATAATATTATGTTGTATACAAATTGCTTAGGAATTAATGAACATTATATTATGACTCACCGTATATCCTCTGGACTGCAACAGTTATGAGTAGCCCAAATACCGGTAACACGACCATTGTGATTCAATTATCTGCACACTATGAACAAAAAATAGTTTTACAACATTATTATAAGTCAAATTTAAGCCTGGACCAAGGTTAGGCGGTAATAAAATTTATTTATTTTTATCAACAATAATCAAGCACCTAGTCTATATTTTTAAGTTCTTTTTCAACATGCACTTTAAATTCCTTATTCCAAAACAGAATATCTTTTTGAGTACTTCGATGTAAAAAAATTGAATTTTGGACAAGTAGTTTATGAGTTATAACTTATAAGTAGGTCGAATTTGAAGACAATATAAATAATAAAAAATAATAATCCCTAGAGTATTCTTAAATAATGAGTATCTTATACTTTATATGGATCACTCTGTATAATAAAATGAAGTTATAAGCACCCATATAGTATATGTATAAAATATAAGTTTAATATTTCTACGCTGTATAAAAATTATAAATTATTAAATATAACAAACAAAACAAGTAGCAATAGAAGAAAAATTATTAAAACTCCGTGGAATGTAATCATTAGTATCAAAACATTTGTAGCCCATGGCTACACCACAGTAAAGTATATTTTCAGTATTTTTCATTTCACCTGTTACAAACCTCCCCTGCGCATCCTCGGGCATTATGTTTTCCATCAGATTTAGCCAACAGCGTTTCATTTAACCCGAAAATACATTACATCCCTCTGCATTGTATTACTCTTTATAAATCTATTTTTATGTGGACTCATTTTACGGATGGTTTTTTACCTTCATATTTCATGCAGACCTAATGTACATATAAATATTATACAAACATAAAAAAGTAAAGTATGTACCTAACGTATTAAAATAAAAATAATACCACGAGCTCTTCGGAGTAAACTAGCATTTATTTAAAGTTTACTCGGAGAGGGTAGAAAAATAAAAACCTATTCAAAATGTTTCATAATTTCAGAGCTACCTACCGTGTTTATATTGTATAAGTTCCTAATAGGTAATTGATAGGTATCTACTATACTTAGTAAACTATTAAAAAAAAAAATATTTTTAATTATTCTCTCATTTTACTAATTTTTATTTTAAATAAGTATAGGTACCAAGGTAGTATTTTATTGTTCAAATTGAATACATTTTAAAGCCAATCTTAAAGTCTTTTAAGTTGTTGTCATAACCAAAACATTATATATTATCTCGTTTGTTCCGGAATAGAAATCTGTCGGTTATAATAACAGTGACCCTTGTACAGTCTATGTATGTCTGATCTGATGAGAATCGCAAGGCTAAGGCCATCACTTACACAAGTGCCATTACCATTTCCAGCTAATCTAACGAAGCCCATCTCCCTCGTCAGCTAACCCCTTTCCACAGCTATCTTCAACCAGACAAGTCATAATAATCAATTAAGTTATATTAGTGATGTCGTTCTAGTTTGTTATATAAACTATGTTGAGGGTATACTATATACTAGGCCTATCGAGTACAGACAATATAGAACGTTTATTTTGAATAAGTAAAAGCACAATAACCATATAATATTAATAAGGTACCTATGAAGTATAGTGAATCTTTGAACTTTAAAAATATAATTAAATAGTATAAAATTACAATTTATATTCTAGTTTTAAAAAAACTTTTCAAAAACGACGAAACAGCACGCGCCAAGCTCATTTCAAACTTTATTTACATCTCAGTTCAGACAAAAAAAATATAAAGAAAAGTCAGAATTAACATACTATAATGTATTTGCTAAACGCCATAGCCTATTTATAACGGGATTTATAATAAATAACTTTAATCGAGACAATAATTTAAATACAAAACATAATATTATAATGCTAGAAATTTAAGAGTAAGAATTTCTCAATTTTAAATTATTTCAATACAATTTGAAATAGAATAATCCTTTACCAATTTTTTATAAGTAGCCTCCTTAGTCGAAAATAATAATAAACACAAATATGTGTAAAAAACAAAAAATGGAATACATTTAGTTTTTACAACCAAAATATTAAAGTCAAAAAATTTAAACTCTACTGTAAGTTTTGCAAAATAATTTGTCCAAATCATACACAGAAAAAATCAATATAAGATGCCTAATAGGGAGACAGTAATAGAAATGTTAAATAAAATACTAAAATGTCAGTACCAAAAAAAATATGCTAGGTATAACAGTATAGGTAAACGTAGGTATAGAATAGTTATACGAATAGAATGTAGTAAATAATGAAAAACTGACAATCTTACAGATTATAAGTACAATTCAATGAGTGAATTTTATTTTTAAATAGAGAAAATATTTTGTAAAATAAATGAACACTGTTAAAAAAATATATATACCTAAATCAGTATTATAATAAGCATTACATTATAAAAAAATTGAGGTAAATTTTAACCAACCAAACTCAGTAGTATACATAGGATAATTAATGTTGTGTCATAAACTCATAAAATATTAAAAGCTAACAATACAGTTATATTTAGGGTTATATATATATCACAATAAATGTATACAGTAAACAAATCATGTACCTATTTTATTTAAATAAAAATAAGCCGGATATTCTAGTAAGGCAATTGAAGATTAGAGGGTTGACATAATTTAAATGGTAAACGAGACAAAGAAAAAAACTTTTAAAGAATTATTTTAGTTAAGTTATAACTCTATTTAAACATTTAATTTGAAATACTTTTATCCATTAGTTGAACAACTTCTTTAAATAAAATTTGTTAGGTAACTTTTTGTTAATTTAATTTAAAGGTTTTATAATACTATTATACCTATCTACCTACTCTAGTACTCTTACTAATGTCTACACGAGTCAAGAATATATATGTAGAAATATATTATTCAAAAACTGATAAGCTATACATAGGTACATTATATTTGGATCATAAAATATATTTTTTTCGAACCATTTATTTTCATAAACATTGTAATCGTACTATATACTATTGGTGAAACTTAAGAGGACGCCTTTGATTTCTAAGGGATTTTACGTGGTAAATTTTAATTGTAATAAAAATGTTGCCCATGTCAAATATATTAAAAAACTATAGGTAATTCAATGTAACTTAAAGTGATAAAAAGTTGATAGAAAAAAGTTTCACCTAGGCGAAAACCAAGAAATAAGTTTTGACCAGATGAAGAAAATAATTTTACCATGTAATATCGATTTTTTGATAACACTTTTGCGAAAAAGTAATTGAAATTTGATAAAAAATAATATTTTTAAAATTTTTTTTAGATATCCGTCGGCATCAGACAGCGTATGGAATGGGATTAACATATTAAGTTTATTTGTATAAATATAAAATATAAAAAAGGATAAAATATTAACAAATACAACAGCAGGTATATAACGGTTGAAAGTTATTAAATTTTGGTGAATAGTTTGGCGATGGCAATGAATTTGATGGTGGGGTTGGGGACCTGATTGAGCGTTCCGGTTAGGTTAGGATTAATCCAGGATTATTTGCGTCATTTGGTTCCTATACACCCTATATGTCAATACGGGGAATTCTATTTTGTTATTAATAAGAAGCTATGTGATACTTTTTTTTTCAAATAAAAATGGTATTCCTAAGTGGTCTTTGGTCATTACCTTCGAGAAACGGATTTTAATAAACAATTCATAGACATGGAACGTTTTCTCAAGGAACCAACTTTAATTCGTAAATGAATAAAGTTATACCTAATTAAGAGTTCAACATAATTATATATGGTGTCATTACTGACTTCATCCGTCGTTCCTAATGAAAACCATTATGGTAACGAATTAAAATACCAATCTAAAACTATGTACCGCGGAACATAAACTTACTACCTATGGCTTTCATTTTATTATAACTACGACATGACATACCTATAATTAGAGAGCCTTAATAAAAATTTTAATAATTATTAAGGCTTTCTACTTATGACTATTGGATAAATATTGATTATTAGTTTATTATTAAATAATCTATGGAACATATTATTTTAATATGTTGGTTTACGTATAGGTATCCCTATACTATACAAGTATAATAAATTATGATGTTAAATGTAAGACAAATATGATAGTTGATTTTTAATGTTTTTGTACCTAATCGAAGTTAATTAGCCAATATCTAACGTTAAATAAGCTTCAAATTTAAAATATAAATCTGTATTTAAACTCAAAAATTTCAATTTCAAAAATATAATACAAAAAGGCTGGGTTTAAAACCATTTACTAATAATTTTCTTTCAAAAAAAAGTTTTTTTTTAATGTAAACTTTGTGTTGAAAAAGTAAAGAAAGCACGTGGCCAAGAAATACAACAGAACATTGAGTCTAATTGGCCTTTGTTGTTGGCACGCGCTATAGTTAGTTAGCGGTTCTTCACCTAATAGATCACGAAGGATAAAAAAGAAAGGGAGAAAAATGAGTCTAATTGAAAACACTCGGTTTGTTTGTATTAAGTGTATACCACGAACGAGGCTACTCGCCCTCTCTCATCAGTGTTACGTAGGAACACTCAGTGTTAATATTGAAGAGTACTTACAATTTTGTCGTATATAGGTAGGTAGTCTGGAAGTCTTTTTTATCTACATATTTTCTTGTAAGAAATAGAAATCACAACGATAAACTAAGTCATTAAAAAAGGGTGAAAGACTTGAAATGGTCTAACGTTGAGTTGATGTACATTTCGTGTGCAGAAGTGACGTCCCATCAACAGGAAGTCCCCATTTACAGACCCATGTATACAAACGTCATAAACGAACTACCTATCTAAAATCACAGCCTTGTAGGCAAAGGTGTAAGACTTTGGATAAAATGTATAAGAAAGAGTACACACTAAACACAATTTTTTTTAGGATGGAATTAATTTTGTTACAAACAATAACAATACGAGTATGTTCATTGCTTATCGTATTGTATTACTTTTAAATGTTAATTAACTTTTTAATACCTAAGTAAAAAAAAAACCAACATTTTAAAATTTAAATATACTTGTATTATATAACTTTTAAGTAATTATGAAAGATTCTATACAAAAGAAAATATTTTTGTCAATTGTAATTA